AAACCATTTCAGGTGACTACCTCTTGAAGCTCATGGAGAGAATGCCAAGAGTGTGCAAAGCAGTAATCAGAGCAAAGGGTGGCTATTTTGAAGAAACTAGAATATAAAACATGTTTTCAGTTATTTCACCTTTTTTTGTTAAGTACATAACTCCACATGTGTTCATTCATAGTTTTGATGCCTTCAGTGAGAATCTACAATGTAAATAGTCATGAAAATAAAGAAAACGCATTGAATGAGAAGGTGTGTCCAAACTTTTGGCCTGTACTGTATATAGTATAAAAATGGGTCCTTGATGACAAATGCTGTGGAAAATGGTTACAGATCAGCAGAAGGGCCACAAATATTTTAAATGAAATTACTGTCCCCTCGTAAAAGTTATCTCACTGTGCTCTTTGGTAATATGTATAATTTAAAGGGATAGTTGTTTTTGGGGTTTATCCATAGTCAGTGTGTTACCGACAGTAGATGGTGATCAGAACGCCCCCAGTTTAAAGAGGTAGGCAGTTATACTGCAACAGAAACTAAGCAATGCACTGCTGTGGACAGGGGCAGCAGCAAATTAGCCACCTTGAAAAATCACTTAACTGCATTACATTTCCATCAGACCTCCCTTTCTAACGGGGAGCTTAAGCCGTTACATAGCTCTCTTCAAACCCACCAGACTCCTTCGACAAAACCAGTAAATGTACCTCACCAAAATAACACAGTAACACAAACCGATCGAGGCAGCGGTAGGCCCTGGAGATAAAATAAAAATATCTAAACTATCTCTTAAAACCTAAGAGCTGACTGTAAAGGGTTACTCAACATATCGCAAAAATACAGCAGAAGTGGTGGTACTAGATTTTATTTTGAAATTCAACCAGAAGTATTTTCACATTAGATGGAATCGGATATAATGCAACCGTAAACAAGAGGTCTGTTGAAGTTTACCTGTGTAGATCGTTAAAATTATATGCAGAGAGAAGAAAAACTGTCACATACAGTCAGAGCTTCACTCATTGCTCTGCCTTTTATTTTCAGTCCCAAAAAAACAGGCCAATCCTGGGTAAAAAAAAAAATCACACTGCAAAATCCAAAAAAAGAAAAAGTTAAAAACTATATTGAGTGACCAATCACATTTGAGTCGCCCAGCCTTGGTCAAGAATTTGTACAAGAATGTTTCTTTTGAAGCATGATGTAAAATAGTGACCCTTCAGTCCGCTCTTGGGGCCAATTAAAGCAGATGTGGTTCCAGGTAGTTACTGCAAGAAAGAGGAATACATGTTAATATACTTTGGCTATCAAGCATCTTTTCACAATTTAGAGTATTCAACTTCCTGTGCACCTCAAAATTAATCAAGTCAGTTCTGGTAGAGGCTGCCACAAAAAACGGAATAATCAGTGTAAGGACACATTTTCATTTTTTATTAAATATAAAGACTCGACACTGTGTTGGTCTTTTAAAATACCGAAAACACACAAAGTACTCAAAGTGCTTTTTTGTGTTATATCACAAAGAGCCAAACGGTGAAGATCAAAAATATATTTGTGCACAAAATACATTTCAGTTGTCTTTTTCACATCAGAGGATATGATTTAGAAGGAAAATCTCAAATGACATTCACGCCAGCATGAACAATACCAGGACCCTGAAACTGTCACAGCTAAATGGAATTCAGCCGTGAGTCATTTTATTTAAACCTGTGACATGTCAAAATGTTTTCTGTGACAAAAATCCTATGATTTTCTACAGCTGCATCACGTTAAAAAAAACTAGTAACTTCATGACACTTCTTTTGTTTTGTTTTTGACTCAGCTGAGTACTTACGCATTTCTCTTCCACCAGACCATCTTTGAAGAAAAGCATGAATGGCGTGATGCCGTCCTCGCGGTAGTCTAGCAGTCCCACCATGCCGTCTGGGTTCATGGATTCTCCTGTGAAAAACTGCAGAGAGACGAAGATGGCATGTGAGAAAACTATCGGTGAAATAGCGCAAGTTCAGTTTTCAAAGAGATGCTAGTCTCAAGATGACTGACCACAATCTATGGGGCGCAGTTAAGATGATGATGATGGATGTGGTTTACAGTATGGGTTTGTGGACAGTTCTTTTTCACATAATAATCAGGATACCTCGTAGTTTTTGAAGTTTGCCAAGATCTTCAGAACTTCTTCTTTGGCGCAAGCCATGAAAGGCTTCACTCTGTCCGGATCAGTCTCTTCCAGCCTCTCCTTAATGCTGGACATGCAAACAGAAAAAAACAAATTGTAAAGAATCAGTCTGTGTTGGATCTCACACACCCCACAGTTACAGTTGAGGATGCACCAGTCCAACTTCCTCTCCCTGTCGCTGGTGCATTGAACCTCCAGCACTGATACTCACGCCTTCATGTAGCCTTTAATGTAAGTTTTGTAGGAATCCTTGTTGAAGCTTGTCTTCCCCAGATTGTGGTTGAGGACGATGTCTACGCCAGAAGCAGAGGATGATTCAGTGCCCTCTGACAGTTGCTCTGCAGAGGGGTTGGCCCCAATTAGTCTCTCATCAAAATCCTCTGTCCTGGTGGTGGTCTAGAGACATCAAGCCGGAGGGGCAGAGAGGACAGACATGATGAGGACGGAGAACATGAGTTTATGGTAAATCACAGTGACAATGTGACATTGGGCTCAACCATGTCGGTTTGAGCTTCACTTCATCTGTTAAGCAAAAACTCACCAGTGGTTAAACTAAATTTGAAATAATTTTAACATTAAATCTGTAATGTAAAAACTTTTGGAGCTTGTAAAAATGCTGTAATACATGGATTCACATTGAAAGAAAATCCAGTGTCACCTTTGTTTTCTTGTTTCTTCACACAGGAGGGAAAAAAGGTAAATATTTATACAGCATTTCAGTGCATCTGAATCAATTGATCTATTTGAACTGCAAAAATATGTAGTCTTGTTATGATTGTGGAGCAATATTTCTGTGCTGTCCTTTATCCATAGTCTCAGCCTGAGTAAAGGCAGAGCACCTTTAAACAGAACTGGGTGTTTTGTAAAGAACTATAAACACAAATAATTTAATAACTGGTGATAATGTTCAGCACTTCACAGTGTGGTTTTGTGGTCGAAGTCTGGTTGTGACTTTAAGCTGTGAGCTTGTTCGATTACCACCATGAATTCCTTTGTGTGTGTTTGACACACACCCTACGTATGACATCCTGACTGTGGTGACGTCATGTAAAGACCATGCCACTCACATCACTACAGGTACAGTCAGCCACAAAAGGAACACTGATCACCTGACTCATCATAGATACAAAACCTGAAGCTATAAATATGTCTCAAATGTGTGTACTGTATTACATTAAAATGTGCAATTGCTCTGTCACCTTTATCAAGCCTGTTGAACAGGGTGAGTTTATCGTGGCCTTGCATTCGGCCGACAATGTGGGGGGAAAAATCCTCCCGAGTCTGACCACACATACACACATCCAATCTACGTGTGTCCCACTGACTCACCTTTCCTTCAACTTCGTAGAAGATGCCATTGGCGGACACTTTGATTTTGTAGATGTCCGAGAACATCTCATCACCTGTGGGAAGGAAACATTGTCGCACTTAATAAACACAAAGCAAATCTCCAGGCTCCATAAACTACAAGATGCATACACTGGATTGCAAGCTTAAATTCCTCAGTAGTGTTTTATTAACGTTAACATCTTGATCTGGAACTTGGTTTAGTAATGAGTGGGGTTGGGCCACTGTAAAAATGTTCAAACTGTTTTGATATTAAATGAAACACCAGTATACTGAATTTGACCATAAGGTATCACACTTGACCCCGCAGCTGCTTCCGAGTGGAACATAGCGAGACTGAAAGAACCCACTGATAAGGGTGTAGCGACTCCACTCTACTTGGTGGCAATAAACGCAGGTTTTCCATCCAATAATAAACACTAAATAAGCAGAGCGTGGATGCATCCCAACTGTCTTAAATTACATCCACGTTTCCCTCTCTTGGTCTTTTCCTTGCATCTTAGTCCCGGCTGTGTTACATTTAACAATTTGTTAACATGGCAAGGCAAGGTAATCACTAACGTGCTTGGTTAAAAAGGAAAACCCCCATTGTTTTGACATGGCTGTTAGAGATGGCAGAGGTACGATCATGTTATCCTGTTTAAGGTGTAACAGGTGGTGTGTTCCAAATTGCTCTGGGACAGAGGATTAGCCCCGCCCCCAGGGAGTGCAACGAGCTTTGAAGTCAATTTTAGTAGCAGCCAAACCGTGAAATGACACCCTCTCATGATGCCCTGTGGCCCTAAAACACTCCTTTTTCCATTGACCTACATGGTGAAAGAGAGATTTGTAAATCAGAGGATGCTTTTCTTTTTAGTGTCACAACCCTCACTAAATGACTTGTGTCACTATCAGATTCATTCAGTCTGATAACATTTCAAAAGTCTAAAAGAGTTGCCTGATTAATTTTATTCCTGTAAATCTCTAGTGTGCTTGCACAGTGTGAAAGTAGTGTCGATCATCCCTGGATAATCCAAATAATTTTTTTATATGTGGCAGTCGAACCATTTTTGCTTCATGCGCCACTGAGCAGCTGTCACAGCCCTTCAACGTTACATCCAGTTCTCTTGATACATCCATGGGATTAGCGTACCGTTACCACTGGGAAAAAACGATTGCGGTTTAGAGCTAAAAGTTGCACCCATAATTTATGCAAAGTATCATGGGGGCTAGGAATAAGATAGATACAACCATGCAGCTGATTGTTTTTCACTTTTTTTTTCTTTGTAAGGAGGGCAAAGGCATGACCCGCCCTACTCTGCCTCTAATTCGCAACTACTTGTTGCCTTTGTTGGCTGGATTGGTTGGGTTTAGACATGAGGAGGAACACTGATTAGGTTTAGGTAAGAATGTCGGCGTGAGTCAATCAGAGGCAGAGGAAGACAGAGCTGGTCAGGTCACGCCTTTGCCATCTTAAGAAAAAAAAATACAATTACCGCCTCTTGGTTTTATGCCTCTGTGAACCAGTTAAATTGCAGTTACAGTTAATAACCATGTCTGTCCAGACTAATATGTAGCCATGACAGTTGCTTCAAATAAAGATGTTGGTGCCAAGAAGCTACATGAAGGTCAGCGTAAGTTCAATCAGGAAGACTTTCTTTGTGCTCATCCATTCACAACTCTCTCCCTCCCTCTCCCACTGCTTCCTCCAATCAGCTGATCATTTTAGGTAGAACTGTCGCGCCCTCCTCCACCCCGTTCACCCCCAGCCGTTGTATCCAGAGTCCAGGACAAGCTTAACAAAGGCTCATTCCTCTACTCATCCAGATCATCAGCATTTCTCCACCTTCTCCCCCTCTCATCTTCACCACCTCTACGTACCACCACCAGCGTCTAGACCCTATCCGACTATGGATTCATCACCCTCCTTAAATCATACCATCTCTGCAGGGTCTAATCACCAAAGACTTTTCACATTTTTATTCTAATGTTCACATGTTAATAAATATTCTTTTTACTATATATAAACAAGTCTCTCCCGATTGAAATGTTTTTAAACACACATCATCAACCCAAGAGCACAGTCACCACAGTTTTAAGATGGGTACCCAAGCTAAGTGTCACCATTCCAGTATTTGACCAAATGTCTCCCTGTCTCCCCCTCTGTTCCTTAGTTATGACAATAAATAATGGCCAGAATTTGTTTTTGTTTTTTTTAGAATGTAATAATGTCACAGGGAAGTTGACCTTTGGGATATAAAATGTCATCATTTAACCATTTTATTGTATTAGACATTTGTGTGAAATATTGTCATGATTAGTGAATGAATTCTTGAGTTATGGCCAAAAACATGTTTTGTGAGCTCACTGTGACTTTTAACCATCAAATTCTAATCAGTTCATTGTTGAGTCGAGGTGGACGTTTGTGCCAAATTTGAGGAAATTCTCTCAATGCATTCTAGATATATGGCATTTACAAGAATAGGATGGACGGACAGACGGACAAACGAAAGTATGACGCCTCCAGCCAGGGATAACACCGGCATGGAGACAGTGGGCGTGGTTTTCAGAGTGAACCGCATCACGTCACTCTTTGAATGACGTGTACACTATGAATTGCCAACTATTTTAAAACTAAAATCTTAACTTGCATACAATAAAAAAACATCTTCCCACTTACATTTCCAACTCTAAATTGTTTTGTTTGAGAGCCTAAAAGCGTTTTCTCATCTGATGCTGCATACCTTCTCCAGAAACTCCCAAAATGCCCAGAAATATATCAATAATAATAATAAATCAATTATATCAGATTTCCTAATGTATAGCCACAAAAGCCAAAAACGTCACCTGATCCTTCCCACAGCAAACTTCCACATGCTCCCTGACTGACTCGTCCTCCATAGCTCCTTGTCTCACACCATGTGCCTTCTTGTTTTACCTGTGTCCTCATGCTCATATCTCTTCTTAGATCTAGCCCTGATAATTTCATTCTCTCTTTCTCTCCGTGAAGAAAAACAGGATTACTTACCGGAGATGATGCACTTGTAGATGATCATTTTGCTGGGATGTTATGTGCTGTGCCGGTGTTTCAGACCGTGTGTGGAGAAATCCAGGAAGTTTTCTGTGAGAGGTTTTTTTTTTTTTTTTTGGGAACAAAAGGATAACTAAGAAAACTCAGGTGAACCAAAGACGGTGGATAGAACAACCCCCACCTTATTCCGCCCCACCCACTTTGTGATGGGCGGAACGACTCTTGTCATGGTATGGGTTCCTTTGAGTTGACACATGTAAATGCATTGCAGCTTTTGAGTTTTGATACAAAAAAGGATGTCTGTTTTGTCATGCAGGTTTGACGGCTAGTGCGGCCCGTGTAACATAGTTTGTATTGTATGTAATTCCACTTGCTATTATAATGTGATAGTCATGCACTTATGTTATGTAGCAATATGGTTATACGTGGGTTATTGGCTCAAGGGCGCCCTCTCTCAGAGGTAGTAGATAAATGCTACTACAGTTAAATTAAATGTGAACGCTGGCTAGGGATTAGGATTAAGTATCACTATTTTAAAATCAGATTATTTTTTTTTAACCAAAGCGTTTGTTGCACATTATGTGTTTTACGACTTGGAAATTTGAAAATCCCACAGTACTCAATGTTATAGTTTCTGGCTGTGATAAATGGTGTAATTTTGGTGATTTTTAAAGTAAACATGCCTTCGGGTTTGGAAGGAATACCTACATTTTCACTTTAGATGACTTATAGTTTACAAGCTTCTTTTAGACGTTAGTGGGATGACGAATTGAACGTGATTTGAATGTCGTCACCCTTGTTGTGAAAAACAAGTGACGCTTATAAGAACATATTCAGAGGTTTTAGGGTAGAAAGTGACATTTTTTTAAAAGCTTATTACATTTGTTTCATTAACAGTGATACAAACGATTGTGTCGGATTAAGTGGCATCTAGTGATGAGGACTGCAAATTTCCACCAGCTGAAATTTCTCCTGTGTGCCAAGCGTTGACTGCTGGTTAGGATTCCTTCAGTGTTTATTGTTCAGGATTTTACCAGGAACTTAAAGGTCCCTCCTTTAAAACCAATGGACCCAGTGACTTAAACCAGTATAAAAGGCAGTTTCACATTAAAAAGCAGTGATTTTCCAATGCTGTTTGGCTCACTGCAGAGGGGCTCTGGCTGTGGATGGTGCTAGTTAGACCCCGTGTTTGGTTTGTCTGTTCTGGGCTACTGTAGAAACATGGTGGCAGGCAAGGGCCTGCTCTCTGTGTAGATATAAATGGCTGATTCTAAGGTACAAAACAAATACAGTTATTTCTTTCAGGTGATTATACACTAAAGAAAACATAATACTCTATTAATTTCTGCCCATATATATCACTAAATCCTACACAGTGGACCTGTAAGTGAACTCAGTTCTAGGAGAAGAGATGAAAACTTTGTACAACTTAAGATATTTCTGTAGGTGAGTAGTAAATAAAAGCATATCATGTATCTGTCTGAATGTAGCCCTAGAAAATCCCAAGTGTAAAGGGTTACTCAACATATCACAAAAACACTACATAACAGAAAGTGGTGGTACTAGATTTTATTTTGAAATTGAACCAGAAGTATTTTCACTTTAGATGGAGTCAGATTTAATGCAACCATAAACAAGAGGTCTGTTGAAGTTTACCTGTATAGATCATTAAAATAATACGCAGGCAGAAGAAAAACCATTTTGTATTCAGTCAAAGCTTCGCCCACTGTCCTGCCAATACTTTCAGCCATCAAAAAACTGGGCCAATCCTGGGTAAAAAAAATCAAACACCGCAAAAGCCAAAAAGAAAAAGTTAAAAACTATATTCAGTGACTAATCACGTTTGATTTACCCAGCCTTGGCCATAGTGCAATGGGCCTAAATGTGAATATGACAAAGTTGTACAAGAAATGTTTCTGTTCCGTCATAATTCAAAATGATCCTTCATTTCATTCCTTCGCTCATGGGGCCATTTGGAAAGCAGCAGTCAATTGAAAAGCAGATGTGGTTCCAGGTAGTTACTGCAAGAAAGAGGAGGACATGTTATTATTTAGGCTATCAAGCAGCTTTTCACAATTAAGAGTATTCAATTCACTGTGTAGGCTTGTGCCGATTTCCGGTTTAACCGGTTCAGTCCGAGCTCCACCCGGTTTAATTCACGTCAACCAGATAAACCAGAGGGGGGGAAAAAAAAAAAGCCTTTCACATCAGCGGCGTGTCAAGGGACTATATTCAACTTATCTTGCATTGTAACATGCATTATGACAACTTAATAAGGGTTATGTTTGTTTATAAATGAAGTGGAGGAGCCTACAAGTGTTCTGTTTAGTTTGTCTCAGAGGCTGCAGAGGGACTCCGCAGCTCCGCTCAGCTGTCTGCTGCTGCGAGAGATCAAATTTCATTGGGGGCGGGAAAAGTGCGAGGGAGTCAGCAGTGCAGATAGACAGATGACATTTTGTTATTTTTTTGCTTTTTGTAAAATGGTCTTTCAAGTTGCACTAGAGGACCCAAGACAAGTCTTATTTTATTTATAAGTATTCATAATTCTGAAGAAGAAACATTAAGTTGAATGGTTGTTTTGTTTTGATAAATAAAAGCACATCGTGTCATTCGGTTTGTTGCCCTAGTAACTTCTTGGTGTCCTTCTGCTTCTTGTGTAGCCTTGTGTGTATTGGCAGTTAATACAGCATTACTGCCACCTAGTGGATTGGAAGCGCATTACACCTATAATGGGCTTTAATTGGGAAAAATAGCTCAAATGCGACCCCCCAGTGGTAAAATTAGGTATATAATTCGATATATTGGTTCAGTTAGATATTTGGCTTTAAATCAATCCGGTTGGAAAATTTTCAAACTGGCACGAGCCTATCCCTGTGCATTTCAAAATTAATATTCCAAGTGTTTACATACATGCACAGATACATGTACATGTAACAGATTCTGTCCTTGGGAGTAGCACTTTAAACAGAAGTCATCCAACAAAAGCTGATAATCACTTTACAGTACACTGTGATCCCACCGTGAAATGTGAAGCTAAACTGTCTTTGTGCACTAAATACGTTTCAATTTGGCTTTTTCACAGCCAACAATATGACTTCAGTGGGATTTATACTTCTGCTTTGAATCAACATCATGCCTGACACGCACCTCCCCAAGATGTAATCCCACTTTGCATGGACGCAGGCTCTTTTTATTTCACAGATAAAAAACAAATTGTGAAAACAATAAATCCAAAAAACAGCATTTTAAGTCTTCAGTGTAATTTATCCCTGCTTTATTTGAGAAAAGGAAAAGTCCTCTTGTCACGAGGCTAACATGTGCAACAGGAAATTTCATAGGCTTATGCTGATGTTAGCATGTCGTATATATGGGGAAAACTCATCTAGTAAAATATAACTGTTTTCTCTGTGAACCTTGTGAGTTATCATGAAGCTGAACTTTGTACTTGTGTTTGATATTGTTGCTATTAAATCATGGTTTATGTGTTTTGAATCAAACTCTACAGCCCTTCACAAACTTAACACAGTGGCATAAAACCACCACCGCCAGCCAGTGTTTTGGAGGCGTCATTGCTGCCACCAGCGCTGTATGAGAGGGCTGGGAGGTGAGCTTACCATCCTCCTACTGCTGACATCGGGCTCAAGTGAAACTAAGAAGACGCTGCTGGGTCTGGCACTGTTTTGGATAGGACCAGAGTGTGGTACAAGAGACTGGAGAAGGTGTATTGTCGTACTTTCCATGCGTACTGTCCACAGGCTCACAAAAGATGGGTTGCAAGTGGACATCTGCATAGGGTCTGTGTGGACCCTTGTGGACATGGGTGGATGACTACATTTGTCACAAGGGACCAAAACAGACCCTGGCAAACACACGAACGCAGAAACTACTGTGTATGCTAAGGGAAAACAGTTTTCAGTTTACAAAAATAAACAGGACGTCCACATCACCGTGATGTGCAGTTTCATCCACCGGTGGAGGCTGCACAGCCACTAGTGACTACTCTAATGAATGAATGGCAATCAAACAGAATGGCTGTATATGCCCCATGAGGATGAAATAGAGAACTATAATGGCAGTCATAAAGCAAAAGACCCTCCTAAGACATAATGCAGAACTGTTGGTGCCCACAGCTCTGTCAGCGCCTATTCATTCCTAAAGAGCAATGGCTAACTGTCAAACATTGACAGTCATGTCATCACTCACTTTGACTAAGGGTGTAACTTCATCACTCACTCAAAAACGTTGAGTGAGTGTTTATGTGACTGGCCTCGCATTCTGCAGTTCAGCTAAAAATAGTTTCTTAAGGATGCTTGCTGGTTTTTGGAGACTCAACTGAGTACTTACGCATTTCTCTTCCACCAGACCATCTTTGAAGAAAAGCATGAATGGCGTGATGCCGTCCTCGCGGTAGTCTAGCAGTCCCACCATGCCATCTGGGTTCATGGATTCTCCTGTGAAAAACTGCAGGGAGACAAAGATGGCATGTGAGAAAACTATCGGTGAAATAGCGCAAGTTCGGTTTTCAAAGAGATGCTAGTCTCAAGATGACTGACCACAATCTATGGGGCGCAGTTAAGATGATGATGATGGATGTGGTTTACAGTATGGGTTTGTGGACAGTTCTTTTTCACATAATAATCAGGATACCTGGTAGTTTTTGAAGTTTGCCAAGACCTTCTTGACTTCATCTTGGGCGCCAGCCATGAAAGGCTTCACTCTGTCCGGATCAGTCTCTTCCAGCCTCGCCTTAATGCTGGACATGCAAACAGAAAAGACAAATTGTAAAGAATCAGTCTGTGTTGGATCTCACACACCCCACAGTTACAGTTGAGGATGCACCAGTCCAACTTCCTCTCCTTGTCAATGGTGCATTGAACCTCAACACTGATACTCACGCCTTCATGTATTCTTTAATGTAAGAGGTGAAACCCTTCTTGTCGAAGCCCGTCTCATGCAGATTGTGGTTGAGGACGATGTCTACGCCAGAAACAGAGGATGATTCAGTGCCCTCTGCTACTTCCTCTGCAGAGGCGTTGGCCCCAATTAGTCTCTCATCAAAATCCTCTGTCCTGGTGGTGGTCTAGAAACATCAAACCGGGGAACATGAGTTTATGGTAAATCACAAATGAAATTAAGCAAAAACTTGCCAATGGTTGTACTACATTTGAGATAATGTTGACATTAAATCTGTATGCATGTCATCCTGACTGTGGTGATGTCATGTAAAGACAATACACAACCACCAAAGGAACACTGATCACATGACTCATCATAGATATTCTTCCCTCAGCTGAGATTCAGACTTTTAACTATTTAAAAACATCTGTGTAACAATGGATAGAGCTGCCAGTTAAATGCACAGCTAGTCAAGCACAATTAAACAAGTGACATACGCAGCCTTACTAGTAGGCTCGGTCCATCACCTTCTCTGGACTTTGTTTCCAGTGAATATAAAAAGTTATACTTATGATTTTATTATCTTACCCACTGATTACTGGGCGACTATAGGCCAGGATGCTACAAAGAGCTTGTCCTTAAAGGGGTACTGTGTCATAACAATGTTGGTTGTATGTGTAAAATAGGGCTGGGTATTATTTAAAAAATTTCCAATACCAGTACCGTTAAAGCGATATAAATAGCCAAGTGAATACCTAACTTGATACATGTGTGACCAGAGTGGTTGGTAGTATACCATAAACTTAAATTAATAGCCTGGGCTTTTATTTGCTTCAATCGCTGAACTCAACTTGCAGCTGGCTCGGGAGACAGCGTCAGTGTTATGGTCATTTTACAGCTCTTGGGTCCAGTTGCTCAGAAGTAATCTGATTGGATTTTGACTAATAGATCAAATCTTGAACTTGAAGTTGTTTTAGATCTGGATCAAACATCAGTATGTGTTTAAAAAAAAAAAAAAGTAATACCTTTGATCCCCCCAATAAAGAAATATTAGCATTATCCTGATCCCAGCAAAAGGTTGGTTTCAGGGTGGATTTTAGGTACAAAATGTAATAAAACTTTTAAGCTATCCAACTTATTTTTATTTTGTATATATGTATTATGTTTAACATCACAGAGATAAAGTAGATAAAGACTACATGTGGCTATCCATTAAGCCTTTCAGTAAGGTAAAATAAAAGATATAGTATTTTGTCCCCATAAAAATCCCCCACACGGCTGTCAATATTAATCAATAATAATTTAAAGTTACAATAAGCAGGCTCTGTTTCATTCTCTTTGGTGGCCTCCCTGGCAATAAGCAGTAATTGCAGTGTGTCTGTTGGCAGAAAAAGTCTTGACGCCATGCTGGTGGATTTATTTATATCAGACACAGTATCTCATACCACAAATGCAAGGGCTTTCATCAGTAGTTTCTAACAACTACATATCCAGTGCTGTTTCTGTGTCCTCAAATTAAAAACACTTAAGTGACCCAGTGCTGCCTATTCTACCTGCTCTTTACAAAGCCAGTAGCCTACATTGTGATATGTGGCACCATTTAGAGAAGTGATTATCTGGATTTGGTAATTTTGAAAAGTCTGGATCTGAATCCAATCCAATGTTGCTTTGAAAGCCCAGTAAAACAGTAAAATAGATAAGCTGATCTTTAGCAAAACATGGGAATTCAAAGGCCAATCATATGCTCCACGTTAAATTGTTTAAACAACTAGGCACAGAGGAAACCGACAATACAACACCTCTCTTTATTCTCTAAAAACAATGTTCACAACTTAAATTAATTTTCATGAAACAAGTTTTGGCTTTTTTGATTGGTTGAACCTTATAGACTAAAAGAATATTAGTGATGGAGGAGTGGTCACATTAAGACTTTGACTGCCAGCAGTTATCACTTTCTTCTCATTTCCCATGCGGGTAAATATGAATCAATGATATTTCAGTCACATTGTTTAGGTAAATTGAACTGCAAGATTCAACTGAAGATAACAGAAATATATTTAGTGCTCTTTTTAGCTGTATTACCAGAGTTACTGAACAGGAAGTTGGGAGGATACCGTTTCCTGTATTGTGTAAACTAAGCTTAAAAACTAAAAACAAAGTGCTGAAATTCTGTTACTGCCTATTTCTCACGCCATGTTAACAACAATTGGGTGACCTTTGCTACCATCTTAAAGGGACAGTGCACCCAAAAATGAAAATTCAGCCATCATCTACTCACCCATATGCCATGGGAGGCTCTGGAGAACTTTTAGAGTCCTCCCAACACTTACGGAGATCTGAGGGAGAAGTGGGTAGCAGCACAACTGCACACCTAATGGCTGACGGCGACCCAGATTAAAACGTCCAAGAACACGGTCCTCTCTGTGGACCGTGCTCACATGCGCGTGCGAGACCAGCGAAAGCACGTGAACACACATGAAGGCGGTGCCCATGTCTCGCGCAAGCGCACACACGTCAGCACAGTGTACACGGAGGCAGTCAGAGCTACAGGCTACAATGAAGCTAAAAACAGAGTTCAGATGACGTTTTTCCAAACAACTTTTTATGTCTGGGCTTCAGGACACTTGGATCACTATGGACGAGCAGTATGGAGATATTTTATGGTTTCTGTGTTCTTGGATGTTTTAATCTGGGTTGCTGTCAACCATTAGGTGTGCAGTTGTGCTGCTACCCACTTCTCCCTCGGATCTCCGTTAAGTGTTGTGAGGACTCTAAAACTTTGCCTGAGCCTCCCTCGGCATATGGGTGAGTAGATAATGGCTGAATCTTCATTTATGGGTGCACTATCCCTTTAACACTTTTGTAAATATGTCTTAAATCTTTGTTAACTATCACTATAAAATGCCCAACTGCATTGTCACCTTCATCAAGATTGTTAAACGGGGTAAATTGGTGTCAGGTGTTTTCACTGTGGCCTCAATTAGGCCTACCATGTAGAAAGAAAATATCCCAAGTCTAACCACACAGACACAGATCCCATCTACGTGTGTCCCACTGACTCACCTTTCCTTCGACTTCGAAGAAGATGCCATTGTCGGACACTTTGATTTTGTAGATGTCCGAGAACATCTCATCATCTGCGGGAAGAAACATGGCCACAGTTATTTATGGAGACAAGGCAAATAGTCTGACTATCTTCTGGTTGCGCCTTAAAACACCAAGTGTTACATTCACTGGACAGCGAGCTTACTTTCCTTTGTGACTAATGTTTCCATCTTTCTCTATAACTTAGTTTAGTAATGATTAGTTACTGGCTGGCGGTGCTATGCTAATTCTAGAAAAATCTGCCAGACATCTTCCCCTAAATAAATCTGCAGCTACATGAGACCGAAAGGCCACGTACACCCCGTTACTTTATCATGACTAACATTACATTTATATCCTAAACCAGAACCAACGTCCCGTATCGTACAGTCCTGTTAAGAGCTCCCCGTTAAGATTAGGCACACGATAGTCATACTTTTCAACTTTTAGCTAACTTACCGGTAGTTAAACCCCAGCCAATGCTAGAAGCTAACCGGCCTCAGCATCACCGGTTAGCCAAATGGGTGGCTAACACAGGGCCGACTCGCTGGCTAGCGCTAGCTTTCGGCTAACACGTTTTGACTAGCTAACCTAGCTAGCATGGCCAACTGTCTGAAATAACATGACACAGCCAAAAAAACGTCGCGCCTGTAACGCCAGCCAATAAACATGAGAGACTACACAAAACCTGGTTACTTACTGGAGATGATGCACCTGTAGATGATCATTTTGCTGGTTCGGTGTTGGATGTTTCAGAGACAGAGCGAAGGCCTACCGCCCTGACTACACTGAAGAGGAAAAAGACCGTTCAGGCCGCGAGGCACTGCATTTACATCCTGATGACGTCATTGTGGGTTCGCCTCTGAGCTTTGCTGCCATTTTGATATGGTGGCCGGAAGAGGCGCTACACCTACCAAACTGCAGTACCTGCGGTATGCATCTGTATTTTACATTTGTGGGTGATATTACATGGAAGAAGGCCTGGCTTTTACCTAATCGATACTTGTTTACAAATAAAGTTAAGGAAATCTCTTTTAAACTCATTCACAAATTCTATCCAGCCAAAAACTATATCAAAAAAAGATTTAAAAAGGAAATTGATGTGAGTTGTAGTTTCTGTGATGAATATCCCGAGAGTGTTGTTCATTTATTTTGGTATTGCCCTGTTGTTAAAAGATTCTGGCAGAGCTTATGTGATTTTGTTTGTGATAATAGTGATGCTGACTTTATTTTGCTTTGGAAGAATGTAGTGTTTGGTCTCTTAAAAAATGATAATGCACAGAAAAAAACACACATACATGATTAATTTTATTATTACAATGGCCAAATTTCATATTCATTGATGTAAGTTCACAAATAGAAAACCTTACTTTGTTGCTTTTGATAACGAGATCAAACAATACATTCATTCAATCCAGTGCTCTCAAAAGCTAAAAGCAATTAGAACTGTGACTGCTTGCACTAATACATTTTTGTAGCTCTCTTTATACTGTGTATCCCCTAGCAGTGTTCTGTAACGTTAATGAAAAAGTCCTTTTTTTCATTGTACTTATTATTTCTTACTATGTACTTTTTACCTGTGTTTTATAAATAAAGTTTATTATAAAAAAAAATGTATCTGTATTTTACGGGTCTATGACATATCTGTTAGGACAGGACAGGCAGTGGTGTAGTGGTAGTTGAAGAGGAGAGTGTAGTACTGGGAAGATGTGTGGGCTACAGGATGCAACTTGTGTTGATGTATTTTAACAGTCCGATGTACTAGGCGAGGACAAACATAAGACATTAAAAGAAAATCTCGCACTCTGCGATCCATTCCTTGTAAAGCAACTTTATTTCTCCTTTATTAGCATATTATTTTGGTACAACAAGCACCATTTCAACCTTGTGATTATCTCAAACTATAGCAAAACACCTTTGTAAAATCCAAACCAGATGCAGTGTCATCATCTCGCCACCCTCCGTCCACGGGGTACCATAGTGAGATGACTCAAGTTTGTGTGGGCAAGTGTGAAGTCTAATTATCTGCACATTATGAAATCCACTTACACAAAAGAAAAATCACTGGGGAAGCCCTACAGGAGGAGATACACAGAGGCAGCGTTTGGAAAGAAGGCCAGGGAAACAGTTACAAACCAATAGGTGCTTTCAAAAAAACAACCTCACCTTTAAATTATAGTTAAGACTTAGTCAAAAAGGGAAAAAATACCCGAGTGGAGCTTATAAAGAAGAACCAGCACATTCAAATTGAGCACATGCGAGACAATAGAACAAAAAGACATTAAAAAAGTTGTCCATGTACAATTATACACACAAAATAAACAAATGATCAGAATTTATTGACAGACGATAATAAAGATGCGAGTGCAACAGAGCAAAGTTTACTATATTTGCTCCTCCCAGATACAACAGTTTCCCATCTGTGATTATGTTATAGGATAGCAAAATAATTTCTAATTCCACGCTACTGGAGCCAAGTTTCTATGAAGTGTGTTGACCAGTAGCCCTGTGATCAGTGTTTAATTCTCATATGCCTAACGACTATGGATTCAGTTTAAGCAGGAGGGTATGCACTGCACAGGGAACACATCATTATCCAAAGTCTTTTTTGACCATTAACATAATAGCCTGAACCAAGCTGCGAATCTTGATCTGACTTTTAAAAAGCTACAGCTGTCCACAGTCCGTAATGACCAGCTTCTTCGTGGGCGTACCTGCCTTTGTGCCAAGCTCACCCATCTGTTGCACAACATCCATGCCATCCTGAACCCAGCCGAAAGCCACGTGTTTGAAGTCCAGGTGTTCGGCTTTCTTCAGGGTGATAAAGAATTGTGAGTTGTTGGTGTCGCGCCCACGATTGGCCATCGACAATATGCCCGGGCCTGTGTGCCGAACATCAAAGTTCTCGTCCTCAAACTTGCTGCCGAAGATGGATTTCCCTCCTGTGCCATCACTGTTGGTGATGTCACCGCCCTAAAAGACCAATGGGGAACTTGTTAGTAATGCTACATGGAGATGTGCTACTAAAAATACATTCTTCCCTATTTGAGATACAGTACAGGCCAAAAGTTTGGACACACCTTCTCATTCAATGCGTTTTCTTTATTTTCATGACTATTTACATTGTAGATTCTCACTGAAGGCATCAAAACTATGAATGAACACATGTGGAGTTATGTACTTAACAAAAAAAGGTGAAATAACTGAAAACATGTTTTATATTCTAGTTTCTTCAAAATAGCCACCCTTTGCTCTGATTACTGCTTTGTACACTCTTGGCATTCTCTCCATGAGCTTCAAGAGGTAGTCACCTGAAATGGTTTCCACTTCACAGGTGTGCCTTATCAGGGTTAATTAGTGGAATTTCTTGCTTTATCAATGGGGTTGGGACCATCAGTTGTGTTGTGCAGAAGTCAGGTTAATACACAGCCGACAGCCCTATTGGACAAATGTTAAAATTCATATTATGGCAAGAACCAATCAGCTAACTAAAGAAAAACGAGTGGCCATCATTACTTTAAGAAATGAAGGTCAGTCAGTCCGGAAAATTGCAAAAACTTTAAATGTGTCCCCAAGTGGAGTCGCAAAAACCATCAAGCGCTACAACCAAACTGACACACATGAGGACCGACCCAGGAAAGGAAGACCAAGAGTCACCTCTGCTTCTGAGGATAAGTTCATCAGAGTCACCAGCCTCAGAAATGGCAAGTTAACAGCAGCTCAGATCAGAGACCAGATGAATGCCACACAGAGTTCTAGCAGCAGACCCATCTCTAGAACAACTGTTAAGAGGAGACTGCGCAAATCAGGCCTTCATGGTCAAATAGCTGCTAGGAAACCACTGCTAAGGAGAGGCAACAAGCAGAAGAGATTTGTTTGGGCCAAGAAACACAAGGAATGGACATTAGACCAGTGGAAATCTGTGCTTTGGTCTGATGAGTCCAAATTTGAGATCTTTGGTTCCAACCGCCGTGTCTTTGTGAGACGCAGAAAAGGTGAACGGATGGATTCCACATGCCTGGTTCCCACTGTGAAGCATGGAGGAGGAGGTGTGATGGTGTGGGGGTGTTTTGCTGGTGACACTGTTGGGGATTTATTCAAAATTGAAGGCACACTGAACCAGCATGGCTACCACAGCATCCTGCAGCGACATGCCATCCCATCCGGTTTGCGTTTAGTTGGACGATCATTTATTTTTCAACAGGACAATGACCCCAAACACACCTCCAGGCTGTGTAAGGGCTATTTGACCAAGAAGGAGAGTGATGGAGTGCTGCGGCAGATGACCTGGCCTCCACAGTCACCGGACCTGAACCCAATCGAGATGGTTTGGGGTGAGCTGGACCGCAGAGTGAAGGCAAAGGGGCCAACAAGTGCTAAACACCTCTGGGAACTCCTTCAAGACTGTTGGAAAACCATTTCAGGTGACTACCTCTTGAAGCTCATGGAGAGAATGCCAAGAGTGTGCAAAGCAGTAATCAGAGCAAAGGGTGGCTATTTTGAAGAAACTAGAATATAAAACATGTTTTCAGTTATTTCACCTTTTTTTGTTAAGTACATAACTCCACATGTGTTCATTCATAGTTTTGATGCCTTCAGTGAGAATCTACAATGTAAATAGTCATGAAAATAAAGAAAAAGCATTGAATGAGAAGGTGTGTCCAAACTTTTGGCTTGTACTGTATATAAATACAAAATGAAGAAACTAGTGAGCCATACTGAGTAAATCATCATGAAACCAAACCATCTGAGAAATGATGTGAGGAGGCACTTTGGATTCAACACCATAGATGGAAAAAATATGTATCAAAGCAATGCTGTTTGATCGTAAAATGTAACTGCCTTCCAGGAACATTAGCTTGTCACTCAAGTGCAGCAGTGGAGATGCATTAATGGAACAATATTAAGTCTAAAATAGATGTTTGGGAAGGATATGATGATTATGTTTCATTTAATTTGAACAAACTGCGTGTTAGGAATTTGTTCAAGTTAATTTTCTGAAAAAGTGCTGAAAGCTTGTGTGCTCAACTAAACCTCCCCTCAACCAGAGAAGAGTGGCACCGCTTCCTCTGTTGTCCAGTGTGATAACCAATTTGGCTATCTTTGCTAACAAGCACCATGTAGTAGAGGCGACCACAGCAGATTTTATTACTGAATTATGATTAGGACACGCTTTGTATGGAAGCCCATTTCTGCCAGTGTGATGGGGAAAAAAAGTCCTGTAAGTTTGGGTTGCAAACTTAATCGAATATTAATGGGGCTGCCCCGTGAAAGGTGAAGAAGATTTGAATTATCAATCGGAGACCCCTCGGTCGACTGAGATTGCTAAAAGTTGAGCAGTCTTTTCTTTTTGGTCCCCAGATTTTACTGCAGAGTGAGCACTCTTCACTTTCACTGTGCTCTTTGGTACAGGCAGCTGAGGACACAATGCAGCAGCCCGGGAAGGAGAGGCTTTGCGATGAAAGGTTCTGAGATAGGGCTGTGCGATATGACGATATATATATCGTGTGACAAGACAAAAATGTCTATTGTTTAATATTTTGCTCTATCGTTTATATTGTTGTGACGCAAATTACACTTTTTACGACAATATTTTTCGTCATTTGGAGTCTGTCCATCTTTTGCACGGATCTCATTGATAAATTACTCTTCTTGGCTTTTTACGGCACTTACAGTAACATAACAAGTTTATATAACTCTGCTGTCTGTCTCTGCTGCGCTGCACACACTGACGGCTCAGCCCCGCAGAGACACAGCGAGACGGCGACAATATTCAGACCAAATCAGGTGGTGCGGAGTACAGCCTCGGTGTTGAGCAGAGGTGTGTGAGGGTGTGGGTGTGTTTGTGC